ATATAATATACATTGCTGGTTATGAAAAAACATATAAACAAAATTATAAGCGTACAATCGCAAATCAAAAGTGCAATATTGTGTACTTGGGTTTACTTCCCAAGAAACGAAGGAGCTGGGATACCCGAACCCAGTCAGAGCGGGTGGGTGCGCACTCAAGTGTAACGGCTGGTTCATTTGCAGATGCCCTCACGGCTCATTGTGTGTGTATATATAGAGATGTTGGGTTTTGTATATACATGCTCATTTTTTGTTTATAACATTTTGCAATCAACAGACATCATAACATGTCATGTGTTCAAGTATCACTATTGCCTGACTGTGTAATTACATAATGTGACAGAGACCGAACTCGGGCCATAAATCAATGCGTTTTGTTTATGGTGTATAGCCTGATTGGTGTTAAGTTCAAATTGCATGTGGTCAGTGATCGCAGTTGTGTATTGAATATTGTCATTAGCAGACAGGCAGGCAGACACACAGGTGTCAATAAAACAAGACATTGAGTTTTGTCTGTGACAACGACATATCTATATCACAGTTAGAAATTGTGTCAACGCTAAATAATGACCTTGCTTTTAAGTATCGAACTGAGAAAGTGACTCGGTAAGAGGAACGTGTTGTGAAATAGACAAATGAAATTATATAAACAGTTTATTTACTGTCATAACATATAAAAAGCTCGCGCCTGTGAGATATCAACAAAACATTAGGAAAATAGCTCACACCAAAGCCTTCACCGAGTATTCACCCGACAGCCCGCTTCCAAGTTGCGCGAACCTATTTCACTGCGCACGTGCTATGAGCGCAGCCCAGCTGTTGAAACCAGTTTTCATAAACATCTAACATATTCATCATTATATTAAACCATGGTATCCCAATTGCGTAGATTGATGCTCATGCTGTTGATCACTTGATTGTCTGGGCCAGACTAAAATATTTACAGGCCGTCACCATATAGCTGGAATAGAGTGCAGCGTTCAACAACAAGCAAACTAGCTTATGTTTTTGCATTTAGATTCTTTTAAACTACATTATCATTCATGTTCCGTGCGTGTACAAATATAAATTTCTGCAAATCAAATCATTCCTGTCTATAATACAACCACTAATTTGTCTCTTTATACACATACCAACATGACAAATGGCTTCAACGTGCCTACAGCGTCGCTGGAAGTCAATAGGGATTTTGCTGCAAAACGTGTGTGACTTATAGTAAGTGCCCATGTAAAGGCACGAACTAACCTCGCTGGAATATTGCTGCTTGCTTCGTTCAACATTAAATAAACAAAATATCGCGACGTGTCAGATAAGTCAGGGAGAAAACCACTCATTGCCGAGCGGAAAAGAATCATTCCACTTGGATGAAATCATTTGTTTTTGTTTTAAGCCACACTCAACAATATTCAACCTATCACTGCATGAAATACTGCATTTTCATGTGTTCCCTCATGTTTGAAATAAGGATTCTATGCCATAGACCACATGAACTTTTCATGATGAGAGAGGTGAGTTGGTTGGCAACTAGAAAATAAGAAAATAAGTCGTATATTTTAGGCTTCAGCTCCTAGGTCTCTGAGGGAATGCTGAACAATGTTTACTGATAGATAGTTTGCATTTTTAACATTGTCATTGAGTATGTGACAAAATCACACATTTAAATCATGATCGAAAGATTCGCCAATACCTACAGATTTTCAGTGATCCATAAATATACATTTTACAGTATTCTTTTCCCTTCTCACCGGAATTTGTTGCTGGGGATACACGAGACTGGGTATTCTTTTGCACAGACTTTCTTTATCATTGATATTGCATGATTTCTTTGTTGACTACATTAGTAATTTGAATGTGATTGTTGATAAAGCAAGCGATATTAGTCTATTATCGCATAGACACACTTAGAAAATATAGCATACGTGTATATGTGAACCTGTGAACCGCCGACTGTAAATCCCGTCCGTTTGGTAAGTTGATATCCGGAATCGAGTGTACTGCTTTTCATTCGGAAATAATCAACTAACCAAAGACTTACTGTGGCAGCTAACTAAACTAAAACAACGAACACCTGGATGCTGACGGCACAGCTACGACAGCATCGTAACTGTTTGTGCTACTCTTAAAGACAATAAACAAACAATATTTTCTTATTCCTCCATTCCGCCCTGTAGTTACGTGATTTCTTTTTGTAGTGACGGATCACAAAGGGTTGTTCAAGAGTTTTTTGTTTTGACTCTCAACCATCTCTTTGCTCTCTGAAGTGGCTGGACACCAAACTCGTTTTAGACAACATTGACTATGTTGTTGTTATTCCATCTCACAACTGTACGGCCTGACTCGGTGTCTGTGGCTTGGTTATATGACCCTCTGGCTGTCTTTTTCATATCTTTGACTTCTCTCAGGGGACATTTCTGATGACGGTTTGCGCGAATCGTTCCTGTGCATGTTACGTTCTTGACGGTTAGCGCATCCACCAGATTGAAACTAGTGAACAGGTTGCCAAATGTGGGGTGATATGAACAGTCATCTTCCTCTTGAAGTTCTGCTATCAGATCAACCACAACAAGATCCACCCATGCCAATACCTGGGCATTCCATCTGTCGCCCTCTGGCACCTTGATAAGGATCAAGCTGTAAGACGTATCCCAGAGGGGAGCTAAGTATCTACATCTTGTATCCAAATCTAATTAGTTTTCCACGTATGGATTGCTTTGCACCATGTCTACCGTGGTCTGGAATCGTCGATTCATCAATGCTGAGATTGTGGCTATCAACTGCAATATATAACAAACTTCTCATTCAAGTCAGCCAAGAGAGGGCGAACTTTGCTTAACTTGTCCCCAGCATCCAAACATGCATTATCAGAATCATGAAAATATCTCAGTATTCCCTCAAAGCGATTTCTTGACATTGCAGATCGAACAGCATTATTCCCGATCTCTTTATCCGAAGACCAATACAGTCGCCTCTTTGGAACGGTACTGTATCCTGAGAGAAATAAAATGGCAATAAAGCTCAATATTTCCTCCGCTGTTGTTGTGAATGTCATGTTTCCCTTTGATCGTGCATATTTCGCACTAAACATCACAATAATTTTCTTCATGTCAAAAGGTAATTCGAACAGGGCAATTTGGAGACGAAGGCATTTTTGAAAGCCCAATGTCTTTCTTGTTGATTTCTCGTGAGATCTGGACGTTTCCAATTCCGTTTCTTCACATAAGTTCTAATTTTCACGTCCTGTGTTTTTAAACGTAGTATTCTTGTCATTTTAATTTGTGGCTAAATTTTCCTACAATCGCCAACAGCTGAGGGGGTGATGTAAATCCAGCTAGGGTCCATGCAGGTAGCAAAAGTAATGTAAGTCCCCATGGTTCCTAGTATGGTGATCTACCTTCAGTTGTTGGCGATCTATAGCCCGTTTTTATATTGTATTGTCTTCGTAAATAAAATAGTTTTACATGTTCATGCTAGTTTTAGACTCCATCTGTTATTTTACAGTCCTTCGATGACTGAGTATTTAGCAACTTTAATTTATTGTTTATGTAACACATTTCTCGTCACTATATGGCTGAAATATTGCCGAGGTGACGTTAAATTCTAACTCACTCACTCACTCACTTACTCACTCACTCACTCACTCACTCACATAAGTTTTGGTTGATTGCTTTGCAGGGCAAGTCGTGCGACCTGTTTAGCTTTTCTCTTCCGTATCTGTGATCGCCCAGCCAAGGTAGACGCAGCTGGTGCATCACTCAGTGACTCTTCTGAATGGTGTGATTCGGGGGATGACCTGTCTGTGTCATCATCATCATCCATACTGCTCAAAGCTGTTATCATCCTCCAGCATTGAAAAAAATTCACCAAAGTTGAATAATCTGAAAAAACAATAAAGAATGCATTCGGTGTTAGAAAACCCCCAGACCTCACATGTCCACTGCCCCATTATTGGGATAATATTCAAACGCATAATCAGTTTATGACAAAAACATAATTTGTTCGTCATTTGTCACATTAAAAAAAAAGTATTGGCATACTTATCTCTTTCTGTTCTTTCGGTCAAGCACATGTGGATATGGTGTTATGTCAATCTCACCTGCTGGTGAAAATGAAGTCACACTCATAAACACAATCTCTGCACTCAATTTACCTCCCTTTAACCATTAGTCCCCTAATTAGGAGAGAGAGAGACCCCCATCACTCCGTCGCCTTAATGCCGAACACCCTCGCATTCAGTTCACCATGGGGGAATAAGCGGACCATCTACCATTCCTAGGTGTCAGAGTCATAAAAGAAGACAACAAACTGAAGATCCGTGTGTACCCTCAGCCCATCCATATTGAACGGTATCTTCACCATTTACTCCACAAAGTCCATGCAGCCATCCATGCAGGATGTGCCGCAAAGACCTGAACAACTAACGCAACACTCTTGTTTTCGCATCTCAGTTGGGTAGATAGATGCTCACGGTGTCAATTACCGGATTGTCTGGTCCAGACTCGATTACTTACCGTCGTGAGAAAGGTGGAAAATTGCTGAGTGCAAAGTTAAACAACAAACAAAAAACAGCAACTTTTAATCTCTAGTAACAGTAGATATTTCGCATGTATTTGTGTTTATTTTTGCCTCTGTACATATTATACATATATAGTTGTAAATAATATCTGTTTAATTGTTCCAGGCGGTTTGTCCAACAGTAACATTCACTTTAGTAATCTTAAGTGTTAGGTTACATTATCCAAATAGGTCAAAGCACCATAAAGCACGTCAAGGATCTAAAAGATGAAAATACCCCATCATGGTTATAAAAAGTTCAGCCTCTCTGTGTATCAGGCAGAAAATGAATGCTTACATAATAGTGAAATTATATCTTGTTATAAAATGCATCATTGACATATCTGGAAAACGTTGCTGAAGTCGACGCCATCTCAAGAGCTCAAAGCATCATAAATGCACGTCAAGAGTGTCCATCGGATAAAAACACCGCCCATCGTGTACCAAAGCTACTTCTGACAGACAAAGTGGATTTCCTTCTCATCAGTGGGACTTGCAGACTCGTTTATGATGGTGAAACCAGCTTTGGCAACCATCTCTCTTGCCAAAGGTGCACCCCATGTTGCCCCAAGAGCTGCAGAGTCAGGCTGGCGGAAGCTCTCCGGGAGGCACATAAATGTGCTGAGCGAGTAGTACAACATAGATGTCCCATTTGCAATGTTACCAATAATTCCTTCCTCAAGTGCAACGTCAATCATGCTGTAAATACCTCCTGGTTTCAGACACCGATAGATCTGGTTTAAAGCTTGCTGGGGATAGGCAAGGTCGTGAATGACATAGCGGGTTAGTATCCAGTCAAAACTCCCGTTGTATTTTTCAGATATGTTTTCAATATTATCAGTGCTATAGGTGATATTCTGAATGCCACGGCCATTTGCATCTGCTCTGGCTTCTTCCAGTGGCTTGCTTGCTACGTCCACACCAAGGAAGGCGCTTTTCTTGAATCGGGAGGCTAATTTGTTTACCAGGAATCCTGTTGCGCAGCCCAATTCCGCAACTTTGATCCCTGATTCTGTAATTGAAAACCAAAATAAAGTCAAGGTTAATTAGACACCTGGAAATTCTTCTGACTAGAATCGCAAGTTTCAAAACCAATATCAAAGCCACTTTTTCAATCACGTATAGCGGAGTAGTATCAGTATTAAACTGTTGCATTTCATGCATCATTTTCATGCCTATACACATTTGGTTTTTCAATATACAATGAATACACTACCGACGAAAAGCATAGGAACTTTTTTCTTGTAGCTGTCGTTTTGGTGTACAGTCACTTTGCGGACACGTTCCATCTTAACGCAACATCCAAGTCCAATCCAATTGTACATCGAGAACAGCACATAGTTCACGAGCACATTGAAGAAAGAGTCAGTCGAATTCTGGGTAGCGGCTCGATACTGGAAGGGTCGGTTGAGGCTTGTAATGGTAATTCCTTGTCTGTGGGACAACTAAGGCGCGGGTTGGATGGCAATAAGACGTTCAAAGGGCAAAAAGAGACACTTTGCCTTTGCATTTCGCAACAGATTAAGACATGTTCCAGTTGGCAATACAGAATTCTAAATAATAACAGGAAGACGAATTTGAACATCTTATGAAATCTCTGATTCGATTGTATGATTCTGTCTAAATCATGAGTGTGTGGGTTTTCTCATACTGCATTCAGCAGTATTACAGCTGCACTGTACACAGTCGAGTCTGCACCAGACAATCCAGTGATTGACAACATGAGATAGAATGACTAATTTTCCAATAGTGATGACACGAGATGTTCGGAAAAGGTAAACGCATCCTGCACTACCGATGGCACCAAATGAGAAATCTTTTTACAAATTTGAAATCATACCCTTCGACACAGCCTTGCGGAGAGCTGTTTGTCACCCTGATGTTTTGTGCATACACCTACATATATGAGGCGGTCTCACTTGTCGCCTAAATTGCAAGCTCATGTGGTAGATCAGGGAACTGGCGATATACCTAAGTTAATCCTCTTGGCCAAATTGCCTTGATTTCATTTTGCCTTCCCGAGCAGAAATTCCGATTCAGATGCACCAAGAATCCGATCCTCAAGCAGGGGAGCACAATTGTTACTCATGGGGATGCCTACTTCTTGCCTAATCCGTTTACAAAAATATCATCAATGAGGAAGTCCAGTATTTCGAATATTGTTTTCTCTATAAATTGCCCTGAACGTCTGAAGGTAGATGGTGTATTCTGGGATGGTAAAATAATTTTTGGAGTAACCTCCCTTGGCCCAGTTGTAGCCGGTAGGCTGTGAGTCTTGAGCAGCATACATCAGTTCCAGAGAAAACCCATCACATCCAGTAGTTTTACTGGAACCATTGTTTAGCTTTCCACTCAGATTTGTGTGTATAGCTTTGGCACGGGGGTGATGTATGGCATACCATTTACTACTTTATTTATAACTTTACAGCTTATCTGGCATCCTAAGTTTGTATTCATCTTTCATCGCATTAAATTTTGAAGCCCAGATTCTTGGTTGTTTTGTACAACATGAATTAGATGTTTATTACTCATGTATGTATCTTCCAATAGCACGTAGGTATATATTTACAACGTTTATTTACAAATGACCCATGGTTTAAGGAATGAAGATTTCCCTTAACTTTCTTAGGAGGGATAACGGGATACAACGTTGAAAATCAAATATTTTGACATAACTGAACTCAGTCCTTTACTGAGATTGTAACAAATTAACAAATCATTTGAATGGGGATGGAATGGGGACGGTATACCATGGCAACAATCCTATTTCTTATTGTGAGTGGTGTTTGAATAGCAAGCAATAAGTGGCAGAAATTTTAAACTCCGAAATGACACAGCCAGACCACACAGGGCTCATGATGTTTGTCGTCCCCCTTTTTGGTTGTCCTTAGCAGTTTGAAAACAGGCATGGAACACCAGAGTATAGATCATTGTGCGAAGATAGTAAGGTTTCAATAATGTGTTCAAACATCTCCAGTGGCTCTGTAATATCTAAACTATTCAAAGACTATCTTGTAATTATTATCTAAAATGGCTGTGGAATCGCTTCCAGTACTTCAGGCCCCGATTTCTCGAAACAAACTTAAGTTTTTACTCAAATTGAAAACTGAGTTTGACAATTTGAAACAGCTGAATTTTTAACTCAACTGCCTTTTTAAAATAAAAAAGCCCAAACACCTAAAGTAATCCATCCACCAAACTCAAATTGTCTACTATGTTTGAGTTTAATATCGATTTCAATTCATTCTGCTAAATGCATTTTCTATATTTGAGTAAAAACTCGAACTTAAGTGAAACGAAAAAGTTTGTTTCGAGAAATCGGGGCCAGTTCTTCTATTCCTTTTGCCCACCTAACTTCGGCACTATCTGAGGCATGGCAGGCAGGATGTCCGTATCAATCATATCTTTCTTGGCTGTGACCAACATGTCTTCCAGTATGCTATACATCCAAGGGCTTTCACCGTAGAGCATTCCTGTAAATAGGAATTTGTGAGATAAGAAATACATGTTAACATCAACGCGACTTCGCTCCAGGTACACAAGAATACTTCGTTTTTGTCCGACATACTAACAGACGCACGCATGCACGCACGCACACACACATCAACGCATGCTCGCAAAGATAACTTACGCACAGATCTCTTTAATTATATGCAACTGTACGTTTTCCATAGCCAGTAGCAATATCAAATAGTTGAGTCCGTTGTACGACTTAGACTAAATCTTCGGCATAATCTTTTAATTACCATGAAATAGTTGTTGCTGTTCTTGTTGTTGCTGTTCTTGTTGTTATCGTTTCTGCTGCTGTTTTGGTTTAACGCCAAACTCATTAATAGTCCATGTAAATAGACCACTGCAATTTTTGCACTTTCTCTCATTGTTATGCATCAGTTCTTCAGCATTTACTTCTCTCATTGTTGTGCATCAGGTCATCAGCGTTTTCTTCTCTCAGTGTTGTGCATCAGGTCATCAGCGTTTTCTTCTCTCAGTTTTATGCATCAGGTCATCAGCGTTTTTTTCTCTCAGTGTTGTGCATCAGGTCATCAGCGTTTTTCTCTCAGTGTTGTGCATCAGGTCATCAGCGTTTTCTTCTCTCATTGTTGTGCATCAGTTCATCAGTTTTCTTCTCTCTTTGTTCTGCATCAGGTCATCAGCGTTTTCTTCTCTCATTGTTGTGCATCAGGTCATCAGTTCATCAGCATTTACTTCTCTCATTGTTGGGCATCAGGTCATCAGCATATACTTCTCTCAGTTTTATGCATCAGTTCATCAGCATTTACTTCTCTCAGTTTTATGCATCAGGTCATCAGCATTTTTTTCTCTCAGTGTTGTGCATCAGGTCATCAGCGTTTTTTTCTCTCAGTGTTGTGCATCAGGTCATCAGCGTTTTCTTCTCTCATTGTTGTACATCAGTTCATCAGCGTTTTCTTCTTTCTTTGTTCTGCATCAGGTCATCAGCGTTTTCTTCTCTCATTGTTGTGCATCAGGTCATCAGTTCATCAGCATTTACTTCTCTCAGTGTTGGGCATCAGTTCATCAACGTTTACTTCTCTCGTTGTTATGGCGGCGGAGAAGCCTATTGGTTAAAACGTTTGCTCATCACGTTGAAGATCCAGGTTCGATTCCCCACATGGATACAATATGTGAAGCCCATTTTTGGTGATATTGCTAAAAGCAGCGTAAAACCATACTCACTCACTCACTCTCAGCTTAATAGGCAGTTTTTCTGTTACTCTGAATCTTTATCGCGACATATATTGGACCTAAAATACGCTGTGTGTCTGCCGAACTTCCGTCAGATTATTATCAATGGTATTTTGAAAGCATATAATTAGAGACGATTACGAACTATAGACACAACATTAATAACTGATACTTGGTTAATAGTGCCTTATAAAGAATAAGAATTTTGTTCATGAAGTGAATCAATTTCACATGATGAATGTCTTTGAATCACTTTTTATGCTTGAGTACTTCAGTCTTCCAGGACATTAGCCATATCGGATTATTCATTAAAAAATCGCTTGATACTCTTTTTCCAGACAATGTTTGTGGATTGAAAACTTACAGGTAACTTCGTTTCATTCTCCATGGTCAGTCTCAACTGGCTTACTTCTTAGGTCAAGAAATGGCAACGCACATAATTTTCAGCGCATAGTACAGATGAAATTATTATAACATGTGAAAATGTCATGACCTTACCGCCAGGGTTCCGTTGTTGGGTACAATCCATGACATTGTTATATCTCATACCAAACTGTGGCATAAATCTGGAAAATACCGACACTGTCGCTAATGTTTGTTTGTGATCCTCTGGAACATGGAACTTGGTGGACGAGTCATCCACGCTGATGACCTCTCCGACAGTCAAGGCACCTAGGATCTCACGGACATACCTGTGGGGAAAAAAATAATTAGAACATTTATTTAATGCCAGCATGTGTGTGTGTGTGTGCGTGCGTGCGTGTGTGTGCCCTTCTCATTGGTGTAGAGTCACGTCCTTTTGTCCCTATGCACACTTTCTGGCCCTTATACAACAGAAAATGTATGAGATGGGGGCCAATCTTTATGGATGTGCCTGTCAATGTTGTTGTTAATTTGTCACCGCGTCTTCAAGGCATGTGTCAATGTTATTCAGTGTGAAACAGTGTTGTTATTGCAGTGCGTCGTTGCTTGTTAGACCAAGTAAAGGGCAGGAATATGCTTGACTTTGTGTACAGAATATTGCCATTGCATTTGTTCTGATGCTCTATTTTGTCTTCCATTGTAATTCCTTTGCAGAAATTTGTATTGATTTGTATACTTAGTAATGTTTAGAATACAATTGTTGATTGTATAATGTATAACGTTTGCCCTTTTTATTGTTGGTCTATCAATGTGCCTATCAAATGTTTGAAATGGCTCCAATCTCTCAAGGTGTCTATCAATTTTATTACTAATTTCTCACCTCTTGTTTAAGGCACATACAGTGTTATTTAGTGAAACAGCTGAATGTGTAGTGCCGCTCTCTTTTGGCCACTGGACCTGTACAGATCCGGGTTGGAATTGATCACCAGCAACTCATGCTTGTCGAAAAAGGCGACTAACGGGATCGGGTGGTTAGGCTCGCTCACTTGGTTGACACATGTCATTGTATCCCAATCGAGTAGATCGACGCTCATGTTGTTGATCACTGGATTGTCTGGTCCGCCATATAGCTGTGGCGTAAAACTAAATTCGCTCACTTACTAATTTGGCCACTGTTTGCCATTTGTTAACAGTAATTTGTCTAAATTGTCAACAGCTGAGGGTATGATGTAAATCCGGCTAGGGTCCATGCAGGTAGCAAAAGTACTGTAAGTCACAATGGTGTCTAGCATGGTGATGTACCTTCAGTTGTTGGCAACCTATAGCCCATTTGTATATTGCATTGTTCTATTTCATAATATCGTTTATGATAGCATGCTCGTTTTACTTCATATCTGTAATCTACTAGTAGGTTTACTGTTCTTCGACAACAGACTTTTAATTTCTAATTGTATTTATAATATTATAATAAATTGTTCTCATCACGATATGACTGAAATATTGCCGATGTGACGATAAATATTAACTCACTCACTACAGTAATTTGTATTGTATTTGTAAACGTATACGTAGTTAGATTGGAACACAACTGTTAATTGTGTAAAATCCACTTTTGTTTGTTGGTTTCCTACCGATCTATTTTGCGGACACATTTCTGGTTAATTGATTGTTTCCACTTTAAGTTGCCTCGTAACAATACCTTTCTCTAAGGTTCAACTTGTCCGCCACCTGTTGTGATGTAAGAGGCTGTTTGGCTTCCAGCAGCATCTCCACCACGCCCAGCTCCCACGCCATTGACAAGCATAACATGACGCCACTGGCACCAACATGGTGCATCATCTGCTTTTGGTAGTCCGACATCGTCGCGGAGATATGTGTGGAATCTGGCTGATTTTTCCGATTGTATGAATCTCAAGAAGAATTTTCCTTAAAATAGGCCAATTTGAAATCAGGCATCTTAATTATAGATCACAGGCTGGAACCTCATATAAAAATGTGAAAAACGACTAAATACAATACAGTAATAGTACCTCCTACATACACATACCTCCTGAGTCTTATTAATGTCTCTCTTTCAGAACAGACAGAGTCATAAAACTATATCTGTTTCCTGCTTATTAGACTGTTTTTATTATAGCGTCAGCGTGTTTCAAACTGATTCGGCCATGAGCGAAGAGTTTATCCCCGACACGTTCATTTCACTGTCTCACTTTTCTAAAGGATGATTAGAATATTTTAAAAGCTGAATAGGTACCCAACTATGAGGTACATGTATAGGGAATAGGTACACGAGGTGAACAGAGGTTTATCGTCAATTTAAAGATACTTAATATTTAAATCATGTAAAGTTGACAATGTACCCGTATATGAGGCGAAGTGAAAGAGGTTTATCGTCAAGTTAAAGATTATCATACTTACAGAGCGACGTTGACTGGGTGAGTTTCCGTGGAGATCGTAAGCCCACGAGGGTTGTGTTTGGACTTTGAACACACAACCTCACGTTCCGGCTGTCAGGGGCAGTCTCTGTCATGGATGTAACCTTGGAAACAACCTTGTATTGTGGAGGCGCCTACAATATCACATTGTCCCCGTTTAAAGGTCACATGCAACCAAAAAATCAAACATAATTAAAACACAATTATCACTTATTCATGACATATAATATACATTGCTGGTTATGAAAAAACATATAAACAAAATTATAAGCGTACAATCGCATATCAAAACTGCAATATTGTGTACTTCGGTTTACTTCCCAAGAAACGAAGCAGCCGGGATACCGAACCCAGTCAGAGCGGGTGGGTGTGCACTCAAGTGTAACGGCTGGTTCGTTTGCCTATGCCCTCACGGCTCATTGTGTGTGTATATATAGAGATGTTGGGATTTGTAAATACATGCTCATTTTTTGTGCATAACATTTTGCAATCAACAGACATCATAACATGTCATGTGTTCAAGTATCACACCTGCCTGTCTGTGTAATTACATAATGTGACAGAGACCGAACTCGGGCCATAAATCAATGCATTTTGTTTATGGTGTATAGCCTGATTGGTGTCAAGTTCAAATTGCATGTGGTCAGTGATAGCAGTTGTGTATTGAATATTGTCATTAGCAGACAGGCAGGCAGACACATAGGTGTCAATAAAACAAGACATTGAGTTTTGTCTGTGACAACGACATATCTATATCACAGTTAGAAATTGTGTCAACGCTAAATAATGACATTGCTTTTAAGAATCGAACTGAGAAAGTGACTCGGTAAGAAGAACGTGTGGTGAAATAGACAAATGAAATTATATAAACAGTTAATTTACTGTCATAACATATAAAAAGCTCGCGCCTGTGAGGTATCAACAAAACATTAGAAAAATAGCTCACACCAAAGCCTTCACCGAGTATTCACCGGACAACCCGCTTCGAAGCTGCGCGAACCTATTTCACTGCGCACGTGCTATGAGCGCAGCCCAGCTGTTGAAACCAGTTTTCACCCGAAAAGTCTGGGGAAAATTAGTGAAACGTTTGAACTCCGATTTCGCGCGTTTTTTTTCATCGCGTTATTTTTCAACTTTATAAGTTGAATTTGCATTTTGACGCTTTGTTTCGGTAAGTCCATACCGAAAGGTATCAGAATCTGCAAAGTTGTGTTTTACGTTGCATGTGACCTTTAACTATGTCAATGTCTGGTGGAGTGGAAGGAATCTCAGTGTGGAAAGGCAGGAGACGATCACGTTTGTGGAGGCACATTCAAAGACACGCGTCTACTTTTTCATGGTGAGTGAGAGTGTTTAATTTTACGCCGCACTCAGCAATAGACCTTTCCACGGAGCAAGTCAAGTCAAAGATGTTTATTGTACAAAAAGCCTCCTGCCCATATACATTGGAGTTATACATAAGTAGTAATTAGTGATCCAAACAGCAAATCATGATACAGGCAGTACATTATGTACAAGTAGTGAAATACGATGACCTACAAAACTTTTTATGAGATTGTTACGTTTAATAAGAGCATAATTGATATAGTACGCCAGCTTTATTATTACATGCTGGTCAGTTGATGAAAGAAGTAGTTTAAATGCTAATGTAGGTGGCTTACATAGATAATATTCAGCTATATATTTCGTACGCAAATCTTTATACAAAGGACATACAAGTAAAAAATGGATTTCATTTTCCACATCTATATTACACAGTGAACTATTATGTATTACTGAATACCATTCTTGATTAATCATATTAAGACGTCTTTCTCGAAACTGAGTTAAAAACAAACTTGCATCACCAACTGACTGACTTAACCATACAAAACCATAACCATGTGCAAACAGAAGATTTCTTACATAAGATGCCCACGTCACTTTACCAATGTTGTCCAAATGAACAAGCATGTCATAAGCCTTTTTTGGTAATCTATGTTCTTGCGTATCTTAAACCAGAATTTTATACATCGAATATGACTGACTGACTGAGTTTGGTTTTACGCCGCTTTTAGCAATATTCCAGCAATATCACGGCGGGGGACACCAGAAATGGGCTTCACACATTGTACCCATGTGGGGATTCGAACCCGGGTCTTCGGCGTGACGAGCCAACGCTTTAACCACTAGGCTACCCCACCGCCCCACATCGAATATGAGCATTTATATACAGGGGATACCTCCCACATTCACCGTACGCCATACAATTCGGTGTAGAGGGTCCTACATTTAAAAATTTCTTACAGGCCATCAGATGTATTTTTTCTATGCATTCATATCTCTGGAATCCCCAAATCTCGGATCCATACAAAAGAATAGGCTAAATTTGACAATCAAACAGTTTAAAGTAAATACTGGGCGTCAACACACCAATTTTACACAAGGCAGATAAAAGACTTATCAATGCTTTCTTAGCTTTCAATGATAATTCAGTAACAGATGTTTTCCAGTTCATAGCAGATGTAAACTTAATACCAAGATAAGTGTAATGATCAGAGACAATTACAGGTTGGTCTTTAAAGGACCACCTTTCTTTAGAAGATATCCGGCCATCTCTTCTAAATATAACAATATTAGTTTTATCTAGATTAACGGATAAATCCCATGTTTTAGTATACCGTTCCAAAATATTTAACTGGGATTGTAGTCCAGCTACAGATTCTGATAAAAGAATTACGTCTTCAGCAAATAAAAGAAAAAAATGTTCTAAGAGATCTGGAAATATTTGGATGCCATGCTTACCATTTGCGATAACATCGTAGTACAATTCGTTGATAAACAGGGAAAATAGAATTGGACTCACAACACATCCTTGTCTTAAGCCAACGCGGCAGTCGAAAGAATCAGTCTTATCATCACCACAACGTACACAAGCTATCACATTAGTATACGTTGCTTTTACAATTGAATACATTCTACCTTTCAGGCCAGCATTACTTAAAGAATACCACAATTTAGAACGATTGACAGAATCAAATGCTTTACGGAAATCAACGAAAGCTACATATAATTTACGCTTACGACGGGATAGACATTTCTGGGCTAGTGCAAATAGTGTAAAGATATGATCAGAAGTTGAATATTTCTTTCTAAAGCCTGCTTGTGATTCGGGAATTTTATCTGTCATACTTGCCCATTTAGTGAGTCTGTTATTTAGAACAGATGTACAGATTTTACCTAAAATACTCATAAGGGAAATTCCTCTATAATTATCTGGATTGGGGACATCATCTTTCTTATGTAAGGGAACAATAATTGATCGCGCCCAACAACGGGGAAAATACCATTTCAAACAATTTATTAAAACACTTATTAAAAAAGGGCATGATACAAACTCTGAACTTTTAAGCATTTCCACCACGATGAGGTCAAGACCAGCTGATTTTTCATTTTTTCAAATGCAATAACGCTTCTGATATTTCATTATCTGTTATGGGTGAGTCTAATACAAGTGATTCGACGTCTGACATATCTGCAGTTAAAATATCTGGTGTTGCTTCATCCTGCAAAGGACAATCATCAAAAGAATCATTAAAAGCAAAATCATTATGAAATACATTTTTAAAATGATTTAACCATTCCGCTTTCGGAATTACATTTTTTCGTGTTGGTCGACTTTTTAAATATCTGATTTGTTTCCAAAATAAGGTCGGCAATAGACCTTTCCACGGAGCAGTGCTTCGGATTACTCTCAGTTATCCCCCTTGGTGGTGGCGCTACTGTCGTCCGCCATTAAGCGGCTGCAAATTGGCATTGACGTTTTACGTCTGGGAACTTGCTGTTTTTTTTCGAAAATATGTCTCGGGATAGAGGCAGGCCTTATGACCGTGGATCAGGGAGTATTTGTGCTATGAAAGACTGTACAAATAGCCAGAGAAATCTACGTTTATGGAAGGAATTGCCCTGTACAGTAAATAAACTGCCACGGAAGGACTGCCCCTGCTTGTTTCCCTATCATCTCCATAGGTTTCCTGTGAATGAAGATCGTCGTCGTGTTTGGGTGTCACGTGTTAATCGGAAGGATTTTCACCCATCTGATATCACTGTGGTATGTATTTATCAAGATAATTAGTGGCACAATAGTTTATCCCATCTGATAACTAGGGATAATGAAATCAAACGTCAGATATTTTGTTATTCATGTAGGGCCTACAGTCCTGGACCCCGTTTCACAAAGCTCTCGTAAGCTTAAGATCTCGTAGCATTCGTACCTCCTATGTTACAGTATAGGAGGTACGAATGCACTGTAGGGTAAAGCTATGAGATAAAGGGTTAAACGACAATTTTTACTAGTAAAATATTCCAACATTTTAAAAACTTATGTGCTACAAATCATTATTCTAGAGACATTTGAATTGTAGAAACTTATTGATATCTTGCAATATGCCCAAAAATATTGAGAGGAAACAGTCTATTTATCATTATATACTCAATATATCTTTACTTAAAATTAGTTATAATTACATTACTGGATTAATTTATTATGATTACTTAATTACTTTACCCTCCATGTATCGTTACCGTGCACATTTCTTTATTTCTTTTTTTACATAAACATAAAGGCTCTAGTGCAAGTGACGTGTATATCACCAAGAACTCGGGTTTCCTAAACTACTGGTTACCTGGTGATGAGGTAATGGCAGATAGAGGCTTTGCAATAAGCAATGAATTTTATGCACGAAGAGTGAAACTGAACATTCCTGCTTTTATGAAGGGTCGTAAACAACTGAGTGCTACAGAGTGTATAGAAACACGAAGAATTGCATCTGTAAGAATACATGTAGAAAGAGCAATTGCCAGGTTGAAGTCTTACAGAATATTGAATCATGTTCTACCTCTTAATTCTGTTCAAACGTTGGATAAGATAGTCAAAGTGTGTGCAGTCCTGTGTAACCTCAGACCAGAACGCATCAAGGACAAAGACTGAGTAGTCATGTATGTTTCAGACATCTAGTAGGCTGCTTAAGCTTATGAGATGTAATGATTTTACAATTTGATATTTCACCAACAAGAATGATAAATTAAAGATATGTATTCTCATTGAATTGATGTTCACTGAATGTTCGCCTCATCTTGATTTTTGTTATCATTGTTGTTTTATGTTTAAATACCAACCTTTAGATATTCAATGAATGCAAATTTGTAAATCACCTTAACCCTTAGACTGCCATATGCATGGCACCATATATACAGTGATAGAATCTACCAGTGGCAGGTGGCCACCACTTTTGTTTTGGGGCCACTGATATTTCGGGGGAAAATAGCAGTTAGCGACCACCAAAAGTGTTGTTTTTTCACAGATACATCACCACTTGGGCCACGAGGAAAATCTCACAAGTTTCAGTAACTGTATATATGGTCCCATGATATGTGTGACAGCAATACTCCTACATGGGATATAAATACTGACCATGTTCATTAAAAACAAAAACACAAATTCTTTTCATACTGGTACATTGTATTTTATCTATCAACCTAAATATGTTAAACATTTCTTTTAAGTTACTAGTGTGCAAAATAGTATTTGACTTGAACTGTGTTTTTTTCATAAAATATCAGCAATTCATAATACACAACTATGATTTTATCACTGTTCATTTGAGTGTCAGTGAGTGAAGGAAATGTACACCTTTACATGTTATATACACATTCTTTTAAAACATCAACAGTAAGTCAATAACATAGTAAATACATCACATCAATTAGATAGATAGCAGTTTATTGACTAAGCTCTAAAAAAAAAATAATTAACATGAATAACACATCATTTGAGATCAATAGGATATAGCCGTGTAATTTGAGAGTTGTTACTGTTATAGTGTTATTTACTCTACACATACTAAGGTGACACACAGAATTGCTTGTATTCCTCACTCAACACGAACCGACCTGCCTTGAAGTCATCAACCAACCGGACCAGCATATGTTTAAAATAAAACACTCTTAATCTAGACAGGGTATTGTCAACAAAGCTGGAATCATATGCAACATCAAGCAGGACTCTGTCATGTTCTTCTGGTCTCCACATAAGAAATGTGCACTGATGTTTTCCTGTACAGAACATACACATTTGCACCTGAGTGAAATATCCATATCTCCCTTTTGAGTAAAGAACTAGTTCACTTTCAATGTTTCGAACATCCATAAGTCTTTCCATAAGCAGTGTTGTCATTACCCTTAAACCTCTCATACAGGTGATTGTTCAGGAATTTCTCAGGGTCGCCTCTACTTGTTTTAGGTACACTGTTGGACTTGGATGCTGGTATTCGTACTCGCCTGCTGTCTTTCCATAGCGGACTTGATGCACCCTGGTTTAATGTTAAAGTACTTAATTCTTCTCTCTTGTACTTCTGGAAGATTAACATACTTGTCATAAAATTCCTGGCAAACAGAACATTCCAATTTTGTGACAGTCTTGCTATAATCAATATTATGAGATCCATGTCTGGATTCATCGTTAGACGTTTCCTTGCAGATAGGATTTACATGTTAAGTGGCTGAAAATGTTTTATGGAGAAGTATACCCTTCAGTTTCCAAAGAGAACAAAGTGGAGAATTATTTACATGCTCAGTAAAGTCTACTGTGGAAACAAACTGCTTAAATCTGTAGGGTTGCTTTTCGATTATGTAGAAGTTTCTGCAGCTAGACTGGGATCATCATTTCTTTTTGGATGCTTGAAATTCATGGCCTTTAATTCACTGAGTAATTGATTGCTCTCCGTCTCTCGTCCCCGTGTACAAGGTAAATCAGTACAAGATTTACCAGCATACCCATGTAACCAGGCTGGATGTACAGCATACATGATGGCTGCAACATGACTACATGACCTTCCATGACCAGCTGGTTCCATGACCAGCTGCAGTTAATACAGTATCATCTTTCCTTGCAGCAATCCATACATTGTAAGGAACTGTAGAGGCTCCTGTCTGAGAGGGTGACACACAGGCTTTAAGATAATGAACTTCACTTTCCACAATGCTTTGAATATCACCTAACCATCCATTCTGCACATAATTATATGCATATGTTGCCCGAAAAGCTTTCATTTCCTTGGAATCAAATGAGTGGGACTTGGTGAGGTAGTCAATAATATCTTCATATTCTATCTGAGGCCAGTTTCCAGTATTATTGGTAACCCACTTGTCACTGTCTTCAGGTAGTGACTCTGTAACAGAAAGTACAATAACAACCATACCCACTCATCATATTTGACCTAGCCTCATTACAGATTGAGATAACTCTCTGACCTAATGATATTTAACCAGCTGTTACTTCTAGTTACAAGAGAACGTTTTAATTTGTGTGAGATAAATAAGAAATATACTAGTACTTTTTAATAACACAAATATGTAGATAAAAAAGTAGAAGGTATTTTTCACAAATGATTTTGTCAAGATATAGTCAAAACGTAGTCATTTGTGAGCATTTAGTAAGATATAACCGTGTGTAAATCTTGAAATAATCTTTATATAGCTTTATATTGACGATGGTTCTTGAAATATCTAATCGAAATATTAACAGACAACATTAGGGGACTATCTTTGAAAATATTTAAATGCCCTACACAGATTTGAAAATACAGGCAAGTTCAAGTTCAGAACACAGGCCTTATAAGATACAGGCGGCCTATAGTTTACATACAGTTTCACGTTAAATTCAACTTCGTTTAAAGGCATTCAGTTTTCGTGCACAATACAATCGCCCAGTTACAAAAAAATGCACATGATATTGACATTACCTGGTCGTTTCTTTAAACTTTAGTACGTTAAAAAATTCTTACCAGCAATGTTTGTTTTAGACATGACATCAGAAATCCTTAACACGAAATGTAATTGGACCAGTAAGGAGACGTTGTTTTTCGCCGCGTAAGCGTTAACTGGGCACCGTCTAGACATGTTTGCAATGTCATAGATTGCCGCGGCGTTACAACTAGCACAGACCAGTTCAACGTTGCATGGCTTAATGGCTGCCACAAAATGGCTGTGCCCATGAAATAAGCCATGGAAAGGTTCATACTCCAGCTATATGGCGGCGATATTCTTATGGAGTGATGGAGAAAATAATTTCTTTTCGTTACATAATGTTTAATGCAAATGAGGACACTAATTCCCTGTGCTCAAATCGTGAACATAATGGTGACCCATGATTGTCAACATTTTCTGGTGGTCAGACTCGTTGAATTGGCTGATTCATGTCATTGCATCCAATTTGCTTAGATCCATGCTCAATAGGTCATTCAGACGATTGTCTGGCCCATACGCGACTATTAACAGGCTGCCGTCATACGACTGAATGTTGCAGAGCTGGCGTCGCTGGACATCCAGCTATGCTCCCTCTGCCACTAATTGGTACCGACATAGGAAGGTTAATGTGGCAGTGTTGTGTGGATTCCGTCAGTGCAGACACCTTAAGATCCGGGTTAGAATTGGTCTTCAGCAACCCATGCTTGTCGTAAGAGGCGACTAACGGGATCGGGTGGTAAGGCTCGCTGACTTGGATGACACATGTCATCGGTTCCCAATTGCGTATATCGATGTTCATGCTGTTGCTCACTGGATTGTTTGGTCCAGACTGGATTATTTACAGACCGCCGCCACATAGCTGTAATATTGCTGAGTGCGGCGTAAAACTAAACTCAGTCACTCACTCAGTTGCGTCTGGTCCAAACTCGATTACTTACGGACCGTCGTGAGAAAGCTGGAAAATTGCTGAGTGCAAAGTTAAACAACAAACAAAAAGCAGTAACTTTTAATCTCTAGTAACAGTAGATATTTCGCATGTATTTGTGTTTATTTTTGCCTCTGTACATATTGTACATATGTAGTTGTAAATAGTATCTGTTTAATTTTTCCAGGCGGTTTGTCCAACAGTTACATTCACTTAAGTAATCTTAAGTGTTAGGTTACATTATCCAAATAGGTCAAAGCACCATAAAGCACGTCAAGGATCTAAAAGATAAAAAATACCCCATCATGATTTTAAAAGTTCAGCCTCTCTGTGTATCAGGCACAAATGAATGCTTACATAATAGTGAAATTATATCCTGTTACAAAATGCAGCATTGACATATCTGGAAAACGTTGCTGGAAGTTGACGTCTTCTCAAGAGATCAAAGCATCATAAACCATTAGGGTGTCCATAGGACGAAAACACCGCCCATCGAGTACCAAAGCTACTTCTGACAGACAAAGTGGATTTCCTTCTCATCAGTGGGACTTGCAGACTCGTTTATGATGGTGAAACCAGCTTTGGCAACCATCTCTCTTGCCAAAGGTGCACCCCATGTTGCCCCAAGCGCTGCAGAGTCAGGCTGGCGGAAGCCCTCCGGGATGCACAAAATTGTGCTTGCCGAGTAGTAGAACATAGATGTCCCATTTGCAATGTTACCAATAATTCCTCCCTCAAGTCCAACCTCAATCAATCTGAAAATACCTCCTGGTTTCAGACACCGATAGATCTGGTTTAAAGCTTGCTGGGGATAGGCAAAGGAATAGGGAATGACAAAGCGGGTGAGTATCCAGTCAAACCTCTCGTTGTATTTTTCAGATATGTTTTCAATATTATCAGTGCTATAGGTGATATTCTGAATGCCACGGCTATTTGCATCTGCTCTGGCTTCTTCTAGTGGCTTGCTTGCTACGTCCGAACCAAGGAAGGTGCTGTTCTTGAATCGAGAGGCTAATTTGTTTACCAAGGCTCCTGTTGCGCAGCCCAATTCCGCAACTTTGATCTCTGATTCTGTAATTGAAAAACATAATAAAGTCAAGATTAATTAGACACCTGGAAATTCTTGTGGCTAGAATCTCACGTTTGAAAACCAATATCAAAGCCACTTCTTCAATCACGTATAGTGGAGTAGTATCAATATTAAACTGTTACATTTCATGCATCATTTTCATGCCTATACACATTTGGTTTCCCATGCACAGTGAATACACTACCGACGAAAAGCATAGGAACTTTTTACCTTGTAGCTGTCGTTTTGGTGTACAGTCACTTTGCGGATACGTTGTATCTTAACGCAACATCCAAGTCCAATCCAATTGTACATCGAGAACAGCACATAGTTCACGAGCACATAGAAGAAGCACATAGAAGAAAGAGTAAGTCGAGTTTTGGGTAGCGGCTCGATACTGGAAGGGTCGGTTGAGGCTTGTCATGGTAATTTCTCGACTATGGGACAACTAAGGCGCGGGTTGGATGGCAATAAGACGTTCAAAGGGCAAAACGAGACACCTTGACAATGCCATTGCATTTCGCAACAGATTAAGACATGTTCCAGTTAGCAATAGAGAATTCTAAATAATAACAGGAAGATGAATTTGAACATCTAATGAAATAGAAACGAATAAACCCTTTCAATATCCATAAGAAATCTCTGATTCGATTGTATGATTCTGACTAAATCATGAGTATGTGGGATTTTTTATACCGCATTCAGCAGTATTACAGCTGCACTGTACACAGTCGGGTCTGCACCAGACAATCCAGTGATTGACAAGATGAGATAGAATTACTACTTATCAAATAGTGATGACACGAGATGTTCGGAAAAGGTAAACGCATCCTGCCCTACCGGTGGCACAAAAGGAGAATATCAACACATGTCAACTGTTCACCGGGAAGAAATCGGGAACGTATGGTACAAGTAAAAGTACGTAATTGCATCGGACATATTTTGTGTAACCGATGCATCAAATTTACCATACCTCTTTTTTAAAGCTTTACGCATGCCTTGAATTTTGTGATCTTGATCGAACAACTTCTGAGCAAGAGTTTCGGTGAAAAGAGTATGCTCGATTGTACCTCAACTTTTATATAAAGGAGACCCGATAAGATGCTGGTTAGAATTAGTAACCCATGTTTATCGTAAGAGGCGACTAACGGGATCGAGTAGTCAGGCTTGCTGACTTGATTGACACATGTCATCGTATCCCAATATATCGATGCTGTTGAGCACTGAGCACTTATCCAGATTCGATTATTTACAGACAGCCGCCATATAGCTGGAATATTGCGTAAAACTTAACTCACTCACTCATATAAAAATGAAAGATGCATATTGGAAATTTGAAATCATACCCTTTGACACAGACTTGCGGAGAGCTGTTTGTTACTCTGTTTTTTTGTGCATACACCTAAATGTGAGGCGGTCTCACTTCTCGCCTAAATTGCATGCTCATGTGGTAGATTAGGTAACTGGCTATTTGATGGTTATTGAACATTAGATAATCGATATACCTAAGTTAATCCTCTTGGCCAAATTGCCTTGATTTCATTTTGTCATCCCGAGCAGAAATTCCGATTCATATGCATCAAGAAACAGATCCTCAAGCAGGGGAGCACAATTGTTGCTCATGGGGATGCCTACTTCTTGCCTAATCCGTTTATAAAAATATCATCAATGAGGAAGCCCAGCATTTCGAATATTGTTTTCTCTATAAATTGCCCTGAACCTCTGAAGGTAGATGCTGTATTCTGGGATGGTAATATAATTTTGGAAGTAACCTCCCTTGGCCCAGTTGTTGCCGGAAGGGTGTGAATCTTGAGCAGCATACAGCAGTTCCAGAGAAAAGTCCATCACATCCAGTTGTTTTACTGGAACCATTGTTTAGCTTTCCACTCAGATTTGTGTGTGTAGCATTGGCACGGGGGTGGTTTATGGCATAGCTCTTACTACTTTATTTATAACTTTACAGCTTATCTGGCATCCTAAGTTTGTATTCATCTTTTGAAGCCCAGATTCTTGGTTGTTTTGTGCAACATGATTTAGATGTTTATTACTCGGGTATGTATCTTCCAATAGCACGTAGGTATATATTCACAACGTTTATTTACAAATGGCCCATGGTTTAAGTAATGAAGATTTCCCTTAACTTTGTTAGGAGGGATAACGGGATACAACGTTGAAAATCAAATATTTTGACATAACTGAACTCAGTCCTTTACTGAGATTGTAACAAATCAAGCAAATCATTTGAATGGGGATGGAATGGGGACGGTATACCATGGCAACAACCCTTGATCATTTCTTATTGTGAGTGGTGTTTGAATAGCAAGCAATAAGTGCCAGAAATTTTGAACTGCGAAATGACACAGCCACACCACACAGGGCTCATGATGTTTGTCGTCCCCCTTTTTGGTTGTCCTTAGCATTTAGAAAATAGGCATGGAACACCAGAGTATAGATCATTGTGCGAAGATAGTCAGGTTCCAATACTGTGTTCAAACATCTCCAGTGGCTCTGTAATATTTAAACTATGCAAACACTATCTTGTAATTATTATCTAAAATGGCTGTGGAATAGCTTCCAGTACTTCAGTTCTTCTATTCCAATTACCCACTTAACTTTGGCACTACCTCAGGCATGGCAGGCAGAATGTCCGTATCAATCATATCTTTCTTGGCTGTGACCAACATGTCTTCCAGTATGCTACACATCCCAGGGCTTTCACCGTAGACCATTCCTGTTAATAGGAATATGTGAGATAAGAAATACATGTTAACACCAACGTGACTTCGCTTCAGATATACCTAACTACTTCGTTTTTGTCCGATGTACACACAGACGCACGCACGCACTCATTAACGCATGCGCGCAAAGAGAAATTGTGCACAGATCTCTTTAATTATATGCGACTATACGTTTTCTATAATCGTAAGTAATATGTAACAGGAGAGTACGTTGTACGATTAAGACTAAATCTTCGGCATGATTTTGTGATTATCGTCAAATAGGTGTTGTTGTTGTTTTTGTTTAACGCCAGTCCATGTAAATAGAACACTGCAAAAGTTGTCAGGTTTCATCTCTCAGTGTCATAGGCAGAGGGTTTTTTGTCACTCTGAATCTTTTTTTGCGACATATACTCTTAAACGAAAGTAGAGGAACCTGAACTTTCAATTTGGATAGGAAGTATAAGCGTTAACAAACTTTTCAAACTATCAGACATCTTATGAACGCACCGCCATTTCTCTTTATCACCACCCCTAGACAGATAAACGATGGGGACCCGTGAAGATCCGGTTTAGAATTGATCTTCAGTAACCCATGTTTGCCGTAAGAGGTGACTAACTGGATCGTGTTCTCAGGCTTGCTGACTTGGATGACACACGTCATCGTATCCCAATTGTGTAGATCGATGTTCATGCTGTTGATCATTGGATTGTCTGGTCGAGACTCGATTATTTACAGACCGCCACCATACAGCTGGACTTTTGCTGGGTGCGACGTAAAACTAAACTCCCTCACAAACAAACTATGGGATGCACGTACACAACGCAGTAGTCCCATACACGTGCATGGGGTGTCATTCTTGATTTTGATGGTTTTCAAGAAGGTCGATAAATCTGGTCCATTAATTTTGACAATCAACATGCATCACACAGTTAGTGTGTTTGATAGTGTTTGATTCTAGCCGTTTTTTTTTTTTTTTTTTTTTTCTTTTTGGGGGGAAGTGAGGGTGTGTGGTTTAAATGAAAATCGTATACACCATTCATCTTTCTAGAGCGATTACTGTACAAACAACTATGGTCATAAGGAAGTGCAGGTGCACCCTTAAAAACATTCATTTTTAATTGTCTCTGATATGTTTCCCAATGTTTTTAATCGTAAATTAAAATTGAAGTTCCTTTTTTAAGAGTATGTTGTACAGTTGTATTGGACCCAAAACACGTTTTGTATCTGCCGAACTACCGCCAGATTATTATATAATGGTATTTTGAAAGCATGAAATTAGTGATGATTACGAAGGAATTTGAGTTTTGTTCATGAAGTTTAATCAATTTCACATGATGAATGAATTTGAATCAGTTCATATGCTTGAGTCCTTCAGTTAGGCAGGAAATTAGCCATATCAGACTATTCATAGGATGATCGCTTGATACTCTTCTTCCAGACAATGTTTCTCGATTGGAAACTTACAGGTAACTTCGTTTCATTCCCCATATTCAGGCTTAACTGGCTTACTACTTATGTTATGAAATGGAAACGCACTTAATTTTCAGCGCATCGTACAGATGAAATTATTATGACATGTGAAAATGCCATGACCTTACCACCAGGGTTCCGTTGTTGGGTACAATCCTTGACATTGTTATATCTCATACCCAACTGTGGCATATATCTGGAAAATACCGACACTGTCACTAATGTTTGTTTGTGATCCTCTGGGAACATGGAACTTGGTGCACGAGTCACCCACGCTGATGACCTCACCGACAGCCAAGGCACCTAGGATCTCACGGACATACCTGTGGAAATAATAAATATAATAAGAACATTTATTTAATGCAAGGATGTGTGTGTGTGCGTGCGTGCGTGCGTGCGTGTGTGCGTGTGTGTGTGCGTGTGTGCGTGCCCTTCTCATTGGTGTAGAGTCACGTCCTTTTGTCCCTATGCACACTTTCTGGCCCTTATATAACAGAAATTGATTGAGATGGGTCCAGTCTATCGATGTGCCTATCAATGTTGTTGTTAGTTTGTCACCGCGTCTTATTCAGTTATTCAGTGTGGAACAGTGTTGTTATTGCAATGCGTTGTTGCTTGATATACCCAATAAAGGGCAGCAGTGTGCTTGATTTTTGTACAGAATATTGCCATTGTATTTGTTCTGATGCTCTAGTTTGTCTTCCATTGTAATTCCTTTGCAGAAATTTATATTGATTTGTATACTTAGTAATGTTTAGAATACAATTGTTGATTGTATAATGTATAACTTTGTCTTTTACTTTTGCCTTTTGTTATTCTTGGTCTATCAATGTGCCTATCAAATGTTTGAGATGGTTCCAATCCTTCAAAGTGTCTATCAATTTTGTTACTAATTTATCACCTCTTGCTTAAGGCACATACATTGTTATTTCGTATGAAACAGCTGAATGTGTACTGCCGCTCTCTTTTGGCCACTGGACCTGTAAAGAGCCGCTTTAGAACTGATCTTCAGTAACCCATGTTTGTCATAAAATGCGAAAAATCGGATCGGGTGGTCAGGCTCGCTGACTTGGTTGACACATGTCATTGTATCCCAATCGAGTAGATCGACGCTCATGTTGTTTTTCACTGGCTTGTCTGGTCCGCCATATAGTTGTGGCGTAAAACTAAACTCACTCACTCACTCATTTCACCGCTGTTTGCCATTCATTTACAGTGATTTGTCTAAATTGTCAACAGCTGAGGGTATGATGTAAATCCGGCTAGGATCCATGTAGGTAGCGAAAGTACTCTAAGTCCCCATGGTGATCTACCTTCAGTTGTTGGCAACCTATAGCCCATTTTCACATTGTATTGTTCATTTTCATAATATCGTTTTATGATAGCATGCTAGTTTTACTTTAATATATGTGATCTACTGGTAGTTTTACTGTTCTTCGACAACAGACTTTTAATTTCTAATTGTATTTTTAATATAATATTAAATTGTTCTCGTCACGATATGACTGAAATATTGCCGATGTGACGATAAATATTAACTCACTCACTACAGTAATTTGTATTGTTTTGGTAAACTTAGTTAATTTGGAACACAACTGTTAATTCAGAATCAAAATAGTGAAAAGTGACTTTTAGTGATAATGATTCAATTACTTAACAATAGAATCCTAACTACAAAAGGAGATTAACAAGTGGTTTTAATATGTAGATCAAATGGTAGTTTAGTCTGGAATGAAATGATAATTTTGTAAATTATATGTTAAATTATATCACAAACTGAAGAAATGTCGAGCTATGTAGACATACATGCTTGGGATGTATTTTAGTATCAAAAGACAATTCATTTGCAATATTTGACAGGGTTAGTGTCAGGCACCCGAATGTCGGGTGTGTCATGGAATATAATGGGGGTCTTGTTACTTGCAGCTGCCTAAATGTATTGTTGCACCATAGTCAATTTTAACATCAACCGATGGAATCGACACAGATATTACAATAGTTGGGAAAGAGATATTCACTTCATTAGGACTTATTAATGCGAAAATCTGAAGAGAAAAAAAGAGAGAAAGGAGAAAAAGTTTGAGAAGATTTATTTTTGTATTGACGGATCACAAAGGGTTCCCCTGCGCGATGCACAAACGTTTCTTCTAGACAGAACTCAGTCATGTAATGGCGGATCAATAGCGTCTCCATCGCCCTCTTTGACAACGGACAAGCTAGCCATTAAACGTCTTGCGTTTCACATTAACATAAGTCATCGGCAGAGGAGGGACATTTGTGGCCCCACTTTCTATTGCTAGTTTCTGATTTTCAATGGGAAGAGAATGTGTTTCCCTTTGATCGTGCATATTTCTCACTAAACATAACAATCATATTCTACATGTCAAAAAGTAATTCGAACAGGGCAACTGGAGACCAAGACCAATATCTTTATCATTCAACGGAAAGCGTTGATTTCTTCATGAGATCTAGACGTTTCCAGTTCCGTTTCTTCACATAAGTTCTTGTTGGTTGCTTTGTTTAGCTTTCCTCTTCCGTATCTGTGATCGTCTGTGATCTGGCATCCTCCTCCTCCAGCCGTTGCTGTCTCTGACCTTGACTGCGTACAGTAGCTGAAGCAGGAGCCTTTAGCTGATGGCCGTTGAGATTACTGAGAGTGCGGCTTTCGTCATCACCCCCACTGTCCTCATCTGTTTCGTCACTAACAGGTTGTGGTTCGATGAAGCCTGCTCAAAGGTGTTATCATCCTCCACTAGAGACCACAAGTGTTCGTCTTTGACCGACTGGCATCATACACTCATTCAAACGCTCATTCATTTATTTGGATAACAAAATGAGAATGACAATACTTTCAAAATTACTTAACCCCCAACCCTAATGATGACCCCATCACTCTCATCAGTCACCTCAATGCCGAACACCCTCGCATGCAGTTCACCATGGGGGTCGAAACGGACCAACCACCCTTCCTGGACTCACAAAAGAAGACAACAAACTCCGGATCAGTGTGTAACCTAAGCCCATCCATACTGAACAGTATCTTCACCATTCACCAAACCATCCCCGACACGTCAAGAGAGGCATAATGGCCACCCATGCAGGATGTGCCCCAAACATCTGTTCCACACCTGAACAACTAACGCAACAAACGCGATCAGGTGGCTCGCTGCCTTGGTTGATACATGTCATCGTATCTCAGTTGCGTAGATAGATGCTCATGGTGTCAATTACTGGACTGTCTGGTCCAAACTCGATTACTTACAGACCGTCGTGAGAAAGCTGGAAAATAGCTGAGTGCAAAGTTGCAAAACAAACAAAAACCAGTAACATTTAATCTCCAGTAACAATAGACATATCGCATGTATTTGTGTTTATTTTTGCCTCTGTACATATTGTACATATGTAGTATCTGTTTAATTTTTCCAGGCGGTTTGTCCAACAGTTACATTCCCTTAAGTAATCTTAAGTATTAAACTACATTCTCCAAATAGGTCAAAGCACCATAAAGCACGCCAAGGGTATCTAAAGGATGAAAACACCCCATCATAGTTTTAAAACGTTCAGCCTCTCTGTGTATCAGGTAGAATGTTAATGCTTACATGATAGTGAAATTATATCCTGTTATGAAATGCAGCATCGACATATCCGGAAACCATTGCTGGAACTCGACTTCTTCTAAATAGCTCAAAGCATTATACATGCACGTCAAGGTTTCCATACGATGGAAACACCACCCATCGTGTACCAAAGCTACTTCTGACAGACAAAGTGGATCTCCATCTCATCAGTGCGACTCGCAAACTCGTTTATGATGGTGAAACCAGCTTTGGCAACCATCTCTCTTGCCAAAGGTGCACCCCATGTTGCCCCAAGCGCTGCAGAGTCAGGCTGGCGGAAGCTCTCCGGGATGCACAAAAATGTGCTTGCCGAGTAGTAGAACATAGATATCCCATTTGCAATGTTACCAATAATTCCTCCCTCTATTCCGATGTCAATCATGCTGAAAATACCTCCTGGTTTCAGACACCGGTAGATCTGGTTTAAAGCTTGCTGGGGATAGGCAAGGTCGTGAATGACAAAGCGGGTAAGTATCCAGTCAAAACTCTCGTTGTATGTTTCAGATATGTTTTCAATATTGTCAATACTATAGGTGATATTCTGAATGCCACGGCTATTTGCATCTGCTCTGGCTTCTTCTAGTGGCTTGCTTGCTACGTCCGAACCGATGAAGGTGCTGTTCTTGAATCGAGAGGCTAATTTGTTTATAATGACTCCTGTTGCGCAGCCCAATTCCGCAACTTTGATCCCAGATTCTGTAATTGAAAAACATAATAAAGTCAAGGTTAATTAGACACCTGGACATTCTTCTGACTAGAATCTCACGTTTGAAAACCAATATCAACGCCACTTCTTCAATCACGTATAGTGGAGTAGTATCAGTATTAAACTGTTACATTTCATGCATCATTTTCATGCCTATACACATTTGGTTTCCATTGTACAGTGAATACACTACCGACGAAAAGCGTAGGAACATGTTTTCCTTGTAGCTGTCGTTTTGGTGTACAGTCACTTTGCGGATACGTTCCATCTTAACGCAATATCCAAGTCCAATCCAATTGTACATCGAGAACAGCACATAGTTCACGAGCACATAGAAGAAGCACATAGAAGAAGAGTCAGTCGAATTCTGGGTAGCGGCTCGATACTGGAAGGGTCGGTTGAGGCTTGTAATGGTAATTTCTCGACTGTGCAAGTTCATGTGGTAGATCAGGGAACTGGCTATTTGATGGTTATTGAACATTAGATAATCGATATACCTAAGTTAATCCTCTTGGCCAAATTGCCTTGATTTCATTTTGCCAACACGAGCAGAACTTCCGATTCATATGCACCAAGAATCCGATCCTCAAGCAGGAGAGCACAATTGTTGCTCATGGGGATGCCTACTTCTTGCCTAATCCGTTTACAAAAATATCATCAATGAGAAAGTCCAGCATTTCGAATATTGTTTTCTCTATAAATTGCCCTGAACCTCTGAAGGTAGATGGTGTATTCTGGGATGGTAAAATAATTTTTGGAGTAACCTCCCTTGGCCCAGTTGTAGCTGGTAGTGTGTGAGTCTTGAGCAGCATACAGCAGTTCCAGAGAAAAACCGATCACATCCAGTAGTTTTACTGGAACCATTGTTTAGCTTTCCACTCAGGTTTGTGTGTGTAGCTTTGGCACGGAGGTGGTGTATGGCATACCACGTACTACTTTATTTGTAACTTTACAGCTTATCTGGCATCCTAAGTTTGTATTCATCTTTTGAAGCCCAGATTCTTGGTTGTTTTTTGCAACATGATTTAGATGATTACTCGGGTATGTATCTTCCAGTAGAACGTAGGTATATATTCACAACGTTTATTTACAAATCGCCCTGGTTCAAGGAATGGAGATTTAAGTTTGTTAGGAGGGATAACGGGATACAACGTTGAAAATCAAATATTTTGACATAACTGAACTCAGTCCTTTACTGAGATTGTACCAAATCAAGCAAATCATTTGAATGGGGATGGAATGGGGACGGTATACCATGGCAACAATCCTTGATCATTTCTTATTGTGAGTGGTGTTTGAATAGCAAGCAATAAGTGCCAGAAATTTTTAACTGCGAAATAACAGAGCCACACCACACAGGGCTCATGTTTATCGTCCCCCTTTTTGGTTGTCCTTAGCATTTAGAAAATAGGCATGGAACACCAAAGTATAGATCATTGTGCGAAGATAGTAAGGTTCAAATACTGTGTTCAAACATCTCCAGTGGCTCTGTAATATTTAAACTATTCACACAGTATCATGTAATTGTTATCTAAAATGGCTGTGGAATCGCTTCCAGTACTTCAGTTCTTCTATTCCATTTACCCACCTAACTTCGGCACTATCTGAGGCATGGCAGGCAGGATGTCCGTATCAATCATATCTTTCTTGACTATAACCAACATGTCCTCCAGTATGCTAAACAGCACAGGGCTTTCACTGTAGACCATTCCTGTAAATAGGAATATGTGAGATAAGAAATACATGTTAACACCAACGCGACTTCGCTTCAGATATACCTAACTACTTCGTTTTTGCCCGACGTACACACAGACGCATGCACGCACTCACTAACACATGCGTGCAAAAATAAATTGTCCACAGATCTCTTTAATTAAATGCGACTATACGTTTTCTATAATCAGTAGTAATATCTAATAGGAGAGTCTGTTGTACGATTAAGACTAAATCTTCGGCATAATTTAGTAATTATCATCAAATAGGTGTTATTGTTTTTTGTTTAACGCCAGTCCATGTAAATAGATCACTGCAAATGTTGTCAGGTTTCATCTCTCAGTAATAGACAGAGGTTTTTTGTCACTCTGAATCTTTTTTTGCGACATATACTCTTAAACGAAAGTAGAGGAACCTGAACTTTCAATTTGGATAGGAAGTATAAGCGTTAACAAACTTTTCAAACTATCAGACATCTTATGAACGAACCGCTATTTCTCTTTATCACCACCCCTAGACACAAACCATGGGGACCCGAGAAGATCCGAGTTGGAATTGATCTTCAGTAACCCATGTTTGCCGTAAGAGATGACTAACTGGATCGGATTATTCATAGTAAGATCGCACATAATTTTCAGCTCATCATATAGAGGAAATTATTATGGCATGTGAAAATGTCATGACCTTACCAGCAGGGTTCCGTTGTTGGGTACAATCCTTGACATTGTTATATCTCATACCCAACAGTGGCATATATCTGGAAAATACCGACACTGTCACTAATGTTTGTTTGTGATCCTCTGGAACATGGAACTTGGTGGACGAGTCATCCACGCTGATGACCTCTCCGACAGCCAAGGCACCTAGGATCTCACGGACATACCTGTGGAAAAAATAAATATAATTAGAACATTTATTTAATGCAAGGATGCGTGTGTGCGTGCGTGCGTGCGTGTGTGTGCCCTTCTCACTGGTGTAGAGTCACGTCCTTTTGTCCCTATGCACACTTTCTGGCCCTTATACAACATAAAATGTATGAGATGGGGCCAATCTATCGATGTGCCAATCAAATGTGAGATGGATCCAACCGTTCAATGTGTCTATTAATGTTATTTTGTCACCCCTTCTTCACTGCATGTGCAAAACAGAAAATGATTGAGAGGGGTTCAATCTATCGATGTGCCTGTCAGTGTTGTTGTTAGTTTGCCACCGCGTCTTCAAGACATGTGGCAGTGTTATTCAGTGTGAAACAGTGTTATTATTGCAGTGAGTGAGTGAGTGAGTTGAGTTTTACGCCGCTTTAAGCAATGTTCCAGCACTATCACGACGGGGAACACCAGAAATGGGCTTCACACATTGTGCCCATGTGGGGATTCGAACCCGGGTCTTCGGCGTGACGAGCCGACGCTTTAACCATTAGGTTACCCCCACCGCCCCTGTTATTGCAGTGCGTCGTTGCTTGTTAGATCAAGTAAAGGGCAGGAATGTGCTTGACTTTGTGTACAGAATATTGCCATTGCATTTGTTCTGATGCTCTGTTTTGTCTTCCATTGAAATTCCTTTGCAGAAATTTGTATTGATTTGTATACTTAGTTTTGTCTAAATTGTCAACAGCTGAGGGTATGATGTAAATCCAGCTAGGGTCCATGCAGGTATCAAAAGTACTGTAAGTCCCAATGGTCTCTAGCATGGTGATCTACCTTCAGTTGTTGGCAACCTATAGCCCATTTTTATATTGTATTGTTCTATTTCATAATATCGTTTTATGATAGCATGCTAGTTTTACTTTAATGTCTGTGATCTACTAGTAGTTTTACTGTTCTTCGACAACAGACTTTTAATTTCTAATTGTATTTATAATATAATAATATATTGTTCTCGTCACGATATGACTGAAATATTGCCGATGTGACGATAAATATTAACTCACTCACTGGCTTCCAGCAGCATCTCTACCACGCCCAGGTCCCACGCCATTGACAAGCATAACATGACGCCACTGGCACCAACATGGTGCATCATCTTCTTTTGGTAATCCGACATCGTTGCGGAGATATGTGTGGAATCTGGCTGATATATCCGATTGTATGAATCTCAAGAAGAATTTTCCATAAAATAGGCCAATTTGAAATCAGGCATCTTAATTATAGATCACAGGCTGGAACCTCATATAAATATGTGAGAAACGACTAAATTCAATAGAGTAATAGTACCTCCTACATACACATACCTCCGGAGTCTCATTAATGGTGGGCGAGCTGGCTAAGGCGCCAGGCTAGTGATGCAGCGAGCTTGAGGTGTCGGGATCGAGCCCACCTGTGACCGGGTGTAAAACCCTGGGAGTCAACTTTGTGTGCAGTCTCTTTGAGTGTTGTCACAACCCCAAGTGTACAGTATACATCCCTGTTCACTTAAAAAGAACCCACGAATCCCCTGGTATATGACCAGATGGTGGCCACATGAATACGTGCAAACACCTAGTTGTGGGTACATCAACGTGCAGAAAAACTTGGACAAAGTACTGTGACTATGTGTCCCACTCTACCCAGCTGTGAATGGGTACCTCGTAAGGATGGGAAAGCCACATTAACTCGGTGCGCCTAGTGGCTGCAAGAGTTGTATGATCCCCAGGGAGTTGAGATTGAAAATACGATGTGCCGTTGAGATTGACATCCAATGATCGAGGGTACAAATACCAGCGCCTTGAGCATGTACTAGTGCGTGGATATGAGCGCTATGTAAATATCCTACCAAAACCATTATTAATGTCTCTCTATCATGACAGGCACAGTCATAAAACTATATCAGCGTCCTATTGCTGTATATACGATACCGATCAGCGTGTTTCAAACTGATTCGGCAACCTAAGAGTTAATCCCCGACACGTTTATTCCACTGTCTCACTTTTCTAAACGATGAATAGAATATTTGAAAAGTTGAATAGGTACCCAAATGTGAGATATAGGGAATAGGTACGCGAGGTGAACAGAGGTTTATCGTCAATTTAAAGATACTTATTATTAAATCATGCTTGAGTAAAGTTGACAATGTGCCCGTATATGAGGCGAAGTGAAAGAGGTTTATCGTCAAGTTAAAGATTATCATACTTACAGAGCGACGTTCACTGTGTAAATTAGGGTGGAGATTGCAAGCCCACGCAACTGTTTTGGACTTTGGACATACAGCCTCACGTTCCGGCTGTCAGGTGGAGTCAATGTCATGGTTGTAACCTTGGAAACAACCTTGTATTGTGGAGGCGCCTACAATGTCACATTGTCCACGTTTCACTATGTCATTGTCAGGTAGAGTGGAAGGACACACCGTGTAGTAAGGCAGGAGACGATCACGTTTGTAGAGGCACAATCAAAGACACGCGCCTACATTTTTATGGTGAGGGAGAGAGTTTAATTTTACGCCGCACTCAGCAATCTTCCAGCTATATGGCGGCGATATTCTTATGGAGTGATGGAGAAAATAATTTCTTTTCGTTACATGTTTAATGCAAATGAGGACACTAATTCCCTGTGCTCAAAACAGCAACATCGTGAACATAATGGTGACCCATGATTGTCAACATTATCTGGTGGTCAGACTCGTTGATTTGGCTGATTCATGTCATCGCATCCAATTTGCTCAGATCGATGCTCAACAGGTCAATCAGACGATTGTCTGGCCCATACGCCACTATTTACAGGCTGCCGTCATACAACTAAATATTGCAGAGCTGGCGTCGCTGGACATCCAGCTGCGCTCCCTCAACAGTTTGCTTGTTTTAAACATATTTCATTCGAAAATGAAATGGATTGGGCACAGTTTGCCTACGGTTCTGCCACTAATTGTTACCAGCACAGGAAGCGTTAATGTGGCATTCTTGTGTGGATTCCGTCAGTGCTCTCCGTGGTGTAGTGGTTAGAGCGTCCGCCCGCGTCATACCAAAAGACGTTAAAATATGGTACTTGTTGGTCCCTGCCTGGCGCTCGGCATTTATGGGTACAACAAGGACTGGTCGGCTCGGAGTCAGTATAATGTGTCTGAGTGGGGTATTCATGCTTCACTGCGGCATGGTATCTCAGTGGGCTAGCACTATAAAACCAGCTTCAGTCCTGACGAGTACAAGCAGCCGCACATACACATACACACGCATGCACGTCATCATATGAGCGAAATATTCTCAAGCACGACGTTAAACCCAATTTCACTTCCGTCAGTGCTGAAGATCCGGGTTACAATTGGTCTTCAGAAACGGATGCTTGTCGTGAGAGGCGACTAACGCGATTTAGTGGTCAGACTCGCTGACTTGGTTGACGCATGTCATCGTATCCCAACTGCGTAGATCGATGTTCATGCTGTTGATCACTAGATTGTTTGGTCCAGACTGGATTATTTACAGACCGCCGCTATATAGCTGCAATATTGCTGAGTGCGGCGTTAAACAACAACCAAACTAAACGTCAATGCAACAACCGAATATGATTGTCTTGTTACTTGACGACCGGCACCTGGCAAGTCATCGGTGTGGATAGCGTCTCTAAAGGTGGAGATGATCTGGAAACATTCCCATCGCACTTAGACACTGGTAAGCCGAAAGGTCTGACACTGCGTAACTATTGGTTACTGTTAAACAAAACTGTTTTCATGAGCACCTGGTTTCTTAACAACCAACAAATGCTATTCCCATTAAAAACGTACATGTGTGAGTATCATGCTCCCTTCAAACCACAGAGTGCAGATGTCTTCATGAATATTTATTATGCAAATGTGATTAATGTCAAAATATTATTTTCTCTATACATATGGGATCACACGTTTGAATGAAGTGCAAATTACAGTACGTTTCGGAATTCAAACACACAATCTCAGACTGAAATTGTCAAACGCACTGGGCCACCGAGGTTTCAAGAAATTAAACATCAACTGGTATTCCAGTTCACATGTTGTGAATGACTTTTCTGTGCCTAGTTATTTTCACGTCATGTAATGGGGCTACTGAAGCTAGAACTAATTGCATATTTCATTAACTCAATAACAGTACGAGTTAAATAATGGTCAACATAGGTTCATAAGGCCGTAATATTTGCTTGTCATACATGAAAATATACAATAAGGGTTGATTAAATCCCAGCCTGTATGAACAAAACTTTATTCAGTGAGGTTGTATAAGATCAACCTACATTTAAATTGCAAGTCATCGTATGTTTGTGTAACATAGATTTATCGACGTACTGTACCCTGCGCGGTCACTTAACATTCTCGAAGCGCTTACGATATCGTTTCTCTGTTGATTTATTTAGCTCAGTACACGCTGTAATCTATGCACATCCGTTATGAAATAGAGACACAAAAGATAAACATTACTGCGTGTGACACTAAATGCACTTTGCAAACAGTTTGACAGACCGCAAGCCGAGTGATTGTCAAGTAACCATCTGATAATAATGTCTTTCAGTGGCATTTAGAAGTTGTACATTGATGTCCAAGATATTTTTTATGGATTAAACTTCTTTTTTAATTTCTCTCACAACGTTTCGAGACCATTCCAGGTCCCTTCATCAGGTGAACTGGCAGTTAGGACTATGACGTCGTCACTATGACGTCATTACTGAGTTATGACGTCACAATGCAAGTGACATCACAGTACACTAGGGAGAGTACTGTATAAGTGAGTTAGTTACATAATGATGAAATTCATGCTAAATAATAGAGTTGAAAGTTGAATTGTCAATACACAACAACTGACGTCGTCACTATGACGTCATTGCTGAGTTATGACGTCACAATGCAAGTGACATCACAGTACACTAGGGGAGAGTACTGTATAAGTGAGTTCTCGAAGCGCTTACGATATCGTTTCTCTGTTGATTTATTTAGCTCAGTACACGCTGTAATCTATGCACATCCGTTATGAAATAGAGACACAAAAGATAAACATTACTGCGCGTGACACTAAATGCACTTTGCATAATAATTAGCAGTTGTTGTGTATTGACAATTCAACTTTCAACTCTATTATTTAGCATGAATTTCATCATTATGTAACTAACTCACTTATACAGTACTCTCCCTAGTGTACTGTGATGTCACTTGCATTGTGACGTCATAACTCAGTAATGACGTCATAGTGACGACGTCATAGTCCTAACTGCCAGTTCACCTGATGAAGGGACCAGGGTGCCGTTGTACAAAACAACCTTAGTGCTAAGACTACCTTAAGTCTATGTTAAAGTATGGGAGTTACGGTCACCTTAGCGCTAAGATCGCTTTACACAACGGAACCCTGGAATGGTCTCGAAACGTTGTGAGAGAAATTAAAAAAGAAGTTTAATCCATAAAAAATATCTTGGACATCTGATAATAGACATATTTATGCTGCGCAATATTTTCTCCCTGAAACATGCACAAGGAGTTGCACCATTACCCCCGTCAGTGGTTCAGTGTGTACTCGAGAGTCTGTCGCAGTTTTGATAAATAAACCACCTGAGCTGTATGTCAGACTGTAGACATACCGGGCAAATATTCACTGCAGTGTTAACTCAGGCATATTTCGAACAAGGCTGCTTGAATATGGACACCGTGTACTTCTAACTGACACGAGGTCGAACCCTTTAACTCTCTTTCTGTCGAACACCGTCAGCCATCCAACTATATGTACTCTCCGCGACCAAGGACAGGTCGGTAGTTCGATTTCCATAGTGATGTAGCCAAGATCAAGTTTCCATAAGAAATGTGTCGCGTCATACCAAGAGCCTGTAAAATGCGCCCTCGTGTACATACAGTAAGTGTTATACACTTTAAAGTGGCTTTAAAGCCCATTTCACTTGACATGGCCTTACTGCACTCACATTCGAGTCTAGGATTTACATTACGATCTACACGTGCTTGGCAAACGTCGCTACTGACTGCTACATCGATCAAATCCTTCATGACAGAGACTAAAATAGGCTTTAATCACCTACGATCAAATCGATCATGTGACAGTTACTAAAATGGGCTTTAACACACAACACTGATCTTGTGACAGAGATTAAAATGGGCTATAACAACACTCACACACTGATCTTGTGACAGAGACTAAAATGGGCTATAACAACACTCACCACTGATCTTGCGACAGAGATTAAAATGGGCTATTAACAACACTCAACACTGATCTTGTGACAGAGACTAAAATGGGCTATAACAACACTCAACACTGATCTTGTTACAGAGACTAAAATGGGCTATAAAAACACTCAACACTGATCTTGCGACAGAGACTAAAATGGGCTATAAAAACACTCAACACTGATCTTGTGACAGAGACTTAAATGGGCTATAACAACACTCACCACTGATCATGTGACAGAGACTAAAATGGACTATAACAACACTCAACACTGATCATGTGACAGAGACTAAAATGGGCTATAACAACACTCACCACTGATCTTGTGACAGAGACTAAAATGGGCTATAACAACACTCATCCACTGATCAACATGCATGCTATGACAGAGACTAAACTGGGCCATAACAACTCTCACCACTGATCATGTGACAGAGACTAAAATGGACTATAACAACACTCACCACTGAGACAGAGACTCACCACTGATCATGTGACAGAGACTAAACTGGGCTATAACAACTCTCACCACTGATCATGTGACAGAGACTAAACTGGGCTATAACAACTCTCAACACTGATCTTGTGACAGAGACTAAAATGGGCTATAACAACACTCACCACTGATCTTGTGACAGAGACTAAAATGGGCTATAACAACACTCAACACTGATCTTGTCACAGAGACTAAATTGGGCTATAAAAACACTCAACACTGATCATATGACAGAGACTAAAATGGACTATAACAACACTCAACACTGATCATGTGACAGAGACTAAAATGGGCAATAACAACACTCACCACTGATCATGTGACAGAGACTAGAATGGACTATAACAACACTCACCACTGATCTTGTGACAGAGACTTAACTGGGTTATAACAACTCTCAACACTGATCTTGTGACAGAGACTAAACTGGGCTATAACAACACTCAACACTGATCTTGTGACAGAGACTAAAATGGGCTATAACAACACTCAACACTGATCTTGTGACAGAGACTAAAATGGGCTATAACAACACTCACCACTGATCTTGCGACAGAGACTAAAATGGGCTATAAAAACACTCAACACTGATCTTGTGACAGAGACTAAAATGGGCTATAACAAGGTGTGACAAGACTAAAAGGGCTATAAAAAAGTCAACACTGATCATGTGACAGAGACTAAACTGGGCTATAACAACACTCAACACTGATCATGTGACAGAGACTAAAATGGGCTATAAAAACACTCAACACTGCTATATAACAACACTCACCACTGAGCGACAGAGACTAAAATGGGATAT